GTTTTGGTTGGGGAAAAGGAAGGGTTGCCTTTTTTTTCTTTCCGGGGGGGGGGGGAGGGGGGGAAAAGAAAGGGAAACACCCCGGCCGGGGCCCTTCGTTTTTTTGAAAAACCCGTGTTCGGGGGGAAACCACCACCCGGGGGGGGACGCCCCCCTTGGGGGTACTCCCTCCCGTTCCCTTTTTCTTTTGGATTTTTTTTTTTTTTTCCCCCCCGTTAGGAACACCCACTGTACTCCCCCTCCTCTGGGTGGGCCCTTACTGTGGGTTTTCTTTCCCCCCCCCCCCCCTTAGCCCAGGGACAACCCCTCCCTTCTTTTTTTTTTACCCCCCCAGCCCCAGAAAAAATTGCCCCCCCCCCCCCCATAATACCTTGAAACAACCATTCCCTCACGCGCGTCACCCCCCCCCCGAGTTCCTTACCCGACGGCTCCGAGCAAGCGAGGGATCCGAGCGGTCACCGCGACCACGCCGAGGAAAGCAGCGGTGGTTGTCCCCCACATCACCGGGGGCACAACGGGCTCTGGCATGACCGACCTATCCAGGCTGACCTCCAACAGGGGGGAAGAAGAAGAGGCCAGCACGCTCCTGCTTTGCTGCCTTTGTTGTTGCTGCTGCTGCGGAAGGAACAACCGCGTATCAACGTTGGAAAAGAAGGTAAGAAGTGGAAAAAAAAAAACTTTCAGGGGTGCAGAAAAAAAAGGGTGCCTGCACACACACACACACACGTACATTCATGTACATACAAAAAGAAATAAGACGAAGTCCGAGGCTAGTTTTGTGCTTCATAGTTCGGCGCGGTCCCTTTCCCGGGAACAGAACGTCAAGTTCGCGCCATCCGTGTGTAGCGAAGCACGAGGCAGCAGCAGCAGCTACAGCAAATCGAGACACCTTGGCAACCATAAAGAAAGGCAGCATACTACCAGACCATCTCTCTGACGTGCACGCGCGCGCCGAACTACAAAAAAAACGGCGAACAACGACAGGGACGTGAGGCCGCTCCTCCCACGCCCCTCTTCCCCATCTCACCTCCCCTTCCCGATACAGCCTCTGCTGCCGCCGCCGCAGCTCCGTCTCCCGGGTGGCCGCCTCCCTTACCTCCGTCCATTCCTCCTCCGCTCCGTTCATCTCCGTCTCCTCCGCCCCCCCCTCCTCCCCCCGCTGCCGCCACTCCCCCATCTCCTCCCACTCCGCGGGGTCCCCCCCCCGCCGGCGAGGAGCCTCGAGGGAGTCTGGCGCCGGATTGCTATTTCGCCGTTGTTGTTGTTGTTGTTGTTGTTGTTGTTGTTGTTGTCTCGCTCCTCCCCCGCCACCGCTTCGCCGCAACCCCGTAGCAGAAGAAGATTCCCCGTCCCCTGCCGTCAGCCCAGCGGAGGCGGCGGTCATCGCCGGTCGTTGCGCTCCGCTCCCGACCTCGGCCACCGCCGCCGCTTCTTCCTCATCGAGGGAACTCTGGCCGCCGCCGGCACCCGTGTTTACCGCCACCTCCCGCCGCTCATGGTCGACCCGTTGCGAGCTCCGAGTCCGTGCCAGCAGGAGGCCGGCCCCGACCACCAGCGACGGCAAGTCGCCCCGTTTCCTGAAAGAGTTGCCGTCCCCGCCGCGGCTGGCGGCCATCGCGAGAGAGGAGGCGGAGAACCGCGCGCCCAGGTCTTCTCCTCCTCTCCCTGCAGCTGCTCTCCCTCGCCGCCGCCGCCGCCGCTGCTGGCTTGCTGCGGTCGATCTTGGCCAACCGCCCCCTGCATGGCTGCCCACCCGGCTGTGGCGCCGTTCATTCTGCTGAGAAAACGCTGGCGATGTTCTTGTCACCGTTAGCGGTGGTGTTGCCCACCCTGTCCTTGCCCTCGCTGGCGCCACCGAACGGCCTCCTCTACCGGCACTTTCGCCGGGGCAAAAGCATAACAGAGTCCTATCCCCGCCGCCTCCCCCCAGAGTCAAGGCTGCACCGCCCGCGCCGTCGGTGTTGCCGAGCTGGCGCCTTAACCGGCTGTAGCAACCACCGTCCGCCTGCCCTCGTGTCGACCCTTCCGCCCTTCGTGTCCCTCTTGCTAGCTGCGCAGGGGCCACGTGGAATCCTTCTGCGGCTGGTGCCGCGGAAGCCGCCGCCGCCGCGGCTGCTGCTGCCGCGACCGCCGCTGCCGTAGCAGTCCCGATTGAGAGCCGCCGCCTTCGCTGTTGCTGCATCGTGCCACCTCGTGCAGCGCGCTCCGGCATGTTTTTCTGGTTTCCCATTTTTTTTATATACGAGAACATGTAACAAGACCGGGTGGAACAGCAGAGGTTTGAGAACAAGCCGCAGTGGTTGTCTTGTACGCGTACGGGATGTTTGCTCTTGGCACAGCAGTCAATGCATGGACCCTTCCAAAGATGAATTTCGTTAATGGAGCATGCACGCCTAGGGTCTGACCAAGGAACACGAGCGCTGTTAGTCCGCGAAGATGAACATTCGATAAAAAAAGGCGAACATTGTTGAACATTAACATTTAGAAAGCATAGCATTTCAAAGGCGCGCCGTATCTATCAACCTGTCGTGTTGGGGTTGGCAATCCTTCAAGCAGGATCCGAAGATTTTTCAAAAAACACGTGCGTGCGTGCAGCGTGTAGCATGCAGCAATTCAAAAACGCGGACCGGCAACCACACCCGCACCGTCAAATCTACTCTGGGTGGTCTCTGGTGAGGTGTTGTGTTGTCAACTGCAGGATTAGGGCGTTCGCCAAGCAGCAGGTAGGATCGCCACAATAGCAAGGCAGGATTGCTACACTGCTGTTTGAAAAGCGCGCGCGATGACTGACCATGTGCAAACATGAGTCCAGCGGAACAGAGGCTCCTACACGGCAGCAGCAGCAGCAGCAGTTTTCATCTTACAAGCTAAACCACACTAGAGGAGGTACAACGGGAACGTGCTCCGAAGCCAGAGTGTACTCTGGCCGTTGCTTCGCGACAGAGGCAGCGATGGATTCGTCGGTTCCGACGTTTAGACAGGGTCACCTTCCTGGGCATGTCACGCTCCACACACCAACATTCAAGGCACCAGGGGCTAGCTCACCTCTTTCCCCACAGAGCAGGGCTGTAAACAAAGCGAACGGAGGACACAACCAGCACACCAGAACCTGTGCATATGATGCACGCAGATCAACGATGTGAACGCGGAACGAGCGGACGAGCGGCTGCTGTCGGTTCGACAGACAGTATTTCCGAGGGATGACAAAATATTTGTTGCGTGCCCCCCCCTCGTCGCGTGGAAGGTGGAAGGCAAGGCTGGCCTTCATCACACATACCTGCTGACAGCAGACTGACGACCTTGCGAGCCTCGTGACCGCTTTCGCCAGGCGCCACGAGAGGCGTACCTCGACATAGACACTTCAGGTCCCGAGCTACCCCCCCGATCTACAGGAAACCGGGCGGACAAAAGGAGGGCAAACATGACCTTTCTTCGGAGCCTCGCGTTGCTGCTGGCAGCCGGGGTGGTTGCTCCGACAGGCAGTCTCACTGCCGCTGCACAGAGCACGACAAGCCAGCCTTCCTTCTTCCTGCAGGACCCGTCCGATGGTGAGGCTGCTGTAGTGTTTGGTTGTGTGCTGCTGTGTTGGCCCACGTGTCGCCCCACACGCGAGGCTTTTGGGAAGGGCATACTTGTAGCTGCGAAATATTGAAGCTCTGGGTTGCTGTGTGTTTGAAGCCAGGAACAGAGAGGGAGGGTACCGGGGGTAGACGCGTGTTGTGCATGTAAAATAGTAGAGGGGTGGAAGAAACGCAGCCCGTTTCAGTCGCGCAGTCCGTCGCTAGTGGGCCCGGCTGTCGCCCGAGTGTCCGCTGGTGCGGGTGAGCTAGCTCTTGCCGCAGCGACGGATGCACTTTCGAAGGAAACGGTGGGTCATCGATGACCGCACACGACACACACACGACCCCCGAAGAGAACAAGCAGCAGGAGCAGCAGGAGCAGCAGCAGCAGCAGCAGCAGCAGAGCTCGTTTTTTCAACATCAACCAGCCTTCTTTCCTGTCGCCCTTCGTCTCTCGAGTGAGGCCGGCGGACAAGGAAGCACACAGCCGAGAAGTTCCGCCCTGCTGAACAGCTGACTAATCGGCGTGGACGCTTGGACATGTAAAGTGGAGGGTTGGACCTCTGGTTCCGCCTCCATGGGTAATGCTGTTTTTTTTAGGGCAGTGGTCAACGTTGAACATTGAACAAGAATTGTACATACACCGAGCCATGTTCTCTATCGCGATTCCTCTCCCCGTCCCTTGCGTGACCGCACTCGGCAGCATCAAGCAGCGTCACTCGCATGTACCACCGCAGGCAGACGTCACTTTTGCTGGTGTGGAGACAGAGATAAAGAGTGTGTGTGCTTATGGGGGGTAGGTACACTCAAACAAACAGCAGCAACTCGCTGCCTCACACTGCTGATTAAAAGGCAATTCCATCAAGAATCTAATGATTCACGCTGTTGATGTTCCCAGGATTGGGTGTTGAGTTTGTTGAAGGTAGCGTTGGGACCGACACGCTTTCACCCCACACACGATGTTGGAGGCGGGGTTGATATGGCGCCTTCTCCGGAAAAACTGGGATGTTGGACCCATCATCTCCGTGAGCCACTGGGCTGCGTTGTCTTGTAGCTATACAGACTCTCCTGGAGTATGTACATGTACATAAACTCATACACAGACACAGCAGTTTAGCCCTACATACCTGAAAGCAGTCTCTTCCCTTCGCATCCCTTTCCTATTGAACTGTGAAGGACACACACTTAAGCCTAGTTGATCATTCTCAGATGTCTTCATTCCGTCCTGCCGACGCAGGTTGAGTGACTGCCGTCGGAACAAGCACCAATGACGGGGGGCAAGTTTTTTTTTTTTTTTTTTACCTCCCATGACCCCGCCGGTGCATGTACGTGGTACATAAACGTCTGGTCTATAAACTAGGAGCGGAAATTCGGCCCGCCTTCGAGAGGGCATTATTATTTAACTATGAAATAGATAGGGGGCTTTCCTTGCCCTAGCCCTAACCCTTAACCCCCAATCTGCACAGCCTTAATCCATACCCACCCCTGCTAGAACCGACCTTAGCATCCGCGCGAAGGATACCTCCAAATTGAGGCCGGGGGGAAGCCCTCCCCTTTGGTTTGACGTGGCTGGTAGCTCTGAAGCCCTGCTACAACTGGGTGTGGTATCTCCCCGAAGGCTACTTTACTGCTGTGAAATTCAGGCGGGGGAGGGAAGGAAGCCCCTCCCCTTTGCCGTGGCTGGCTTCGTCCTCAACTCGTTATCTTGACATGGGCATAGCCTAGGACGGATTTTAATGCGTCTCCCGTCTGCGAGTAAATCGCACAGCAGTCAGTAGTTGTGGCATATATGTGTAAGCCCTGACGCCCTGACCGATCAGGCACGCGGAAGTTGTGCTCTGGCAAGAAATTTATGGCGTTTGCCTGGCGTACAAGTCCGTGCCTGAGATGCCTGAATTTTTGGTGGATTTTTTCTGGAGCGAGACCTACACTAATACAACAAAAAAATGACTTCACCATTAGAAACTTCATCCTGCCCTCGTCCTGCAGTACGAATTTCTGCTAAAGCTACGAATTTCTGCTAGCTACGGGTCCAACCTTCGATGTAGCTAGCTGCTGCCCTCCTTCCCGCGTGACCCTCCGACGCGGGCTGCGTGTTACACACTGTGCATTCCTCAACACGTGGCCTTTGGTCCAGTAGACACGCGTCTATCAAACTCTTGATGCAGGAGCAGCGAGGCGGCAGAATGAGAACTCCGTGAGACCTTTTTGTAAGACCCCAGAAAACCAAACCAAGACAACCCAACCAACACGCCTCCTAGGCGGCACAACAATAACCCAAATACAACCGTAGATCTGGGAGATGTTCCGAATTCTTCCGTGCACAACAAACTACAGTTTATTCGGTCTTCGACAACAAACTTTCATGTTTTGGCACACATAACTTTTTTTTTTATTAATCCATACAAAGTCAAGTGAATAAGTATTTTCCGGCTTTTAGGAGACGATATCCAACTAATTTCAAGGATATATTTTTCTCTAGAAAAGAGAGGGTCATACGGCGGTTAGTATTTTGGTTCTTCTCCGTGTGCTGCCTGGAGTTATGCACAAGCAGCCAGGCAACAAAACACCGTCTCAGGCAAACATCTCGCAGAAATGCGCTCTCAGGCAGCAACTCAGGCACGCGTGAGGGTTGAAAAGGGGCCCTTAGGCGAAAACTCAGGGCACGCCTGATCGGTCAGGGTTCACGCATGTACCAGCGCGCTCGACAACAAAACAATCGGACCGCACAGCAGCTTAAAGAATCCTGCTTGTAGCTCACCGATCTCGATGATGGAAGGATCATTCGGAAAATCGGGGACCGCTAATCTGCAGTGTATCGCAAGGGCTACAATCTCAGATACCAACATTGTACACGAGGTGGGGTGAGCGGACGGTTAATTTGCGATTGAAGTTTCGTACTGGAGTTAGACTTTGGAAAACTGAGATATGCAGGCGTTTCCTGTGTTTTTTAAGAGGAGACACTGCGATCCCCCGTGCGCCCTCAATTGCAGATACACCGCGACATACTGTTTTTGTTCCCGTAGGGCGGAGCACATGGCGACTTGACAACAGTGCTCTTCTTACACACCGAATTCTCTTCCTCTCTTGTGACTGACCACAGCCCTAGGTGACCGCACAAGTGGAGTGTTTAGTTTCGCAATCAGGAGGCGCTTTGGTCGGAGGCTTTGGTACCCGATGACAGGCTTAAGGCTTTAGTGCTGGGGAGATGCTTTTTTGCCTAACGTGCACATGAGAGCACTAGATAAATAGGTCAGATCGGTGTTTGGAAGGTCAAATATGTACCACACCCACACTAACGTGTATATACCCCCCCCCCCGCCCTGAAATGGATGGTGAACGAACGAACCAGGCCAGTGTCTAGAGGGCGGTACGTTCAAGCGATGCGGCGTGGACACACTGTGGTACGTGACGGGCACCAACACACAGTACCAGCTGCACCACCGACCACTGGAAGACGGGGAAGATGTGAGCGTTGCTGCTGCTGCTGGTGTCGGTGTTGTTGTTGTTGGTTCGGGTGTTGTTTCAGAACAGGCGAGCTAATTTAAACACGAACTGGAACAGTTTTTTTGCTGGTTGTCTGTGCCACAGATCGAGATAGTATCAGTTGAGGCAGGTGTTAGCTTGCTGTGAGATGGTCGGTTGTGTTTGAATGTACGATATCAAGATGTGCTGGTGGATGAAAGTGGCATGAGGTGGTCGAGAGCAGCGGAATGGAGTGCGACCATGGGTCGACCCTGTTGTTTTGTTCCGGAGGCAAGACGTCGTCAGTGGGCAACACATTGCAGGCGACAGCAGTAGACAGGGATAACGAGACGAGAGTGTAAACCGTGTTTTCGGTCCTTGCTGCGTACTGTACCACTTGTGTTGGGTCCGACAAAGTGACAAATACACCGATTGGAGAGGTGGAATGAAAATCGAGAATCTGGTGTAGTTGGTTATAACATTCTATTGGCAAAGAAAAAAAAATTTCCCCACTATTCCCCACAACAAGCTTTTGGTATTCATTCGTTCACTTTGTCTTAAAGACCCCCCGACGTCCAGGCCAGGCCCGCCGGAGGTAAAAAAAGGTTTGCAAAACATTTCTTTGTTTACCCTCGGTGTGATATGATTGGTGCAACCACGCGAACCGGTGGGGAGGAAATGGGACACGAGAAGAGACGGAAACAGCAACCAACCACGTTGTGGCAGTGAGGCCAAGTTTCACGACAATCACGACAATATCCGCGCTCTCACGGTATCATGTTTCTGGAACCGGGTGCGTTTGTCGTTTTCCGTGTCTGCTTTTTATAGCCCACTGCGGCTGCTACCACTGCTGACTGTGTATTGTGCTACTGCTGCTGCTGCTGCTGCTGATCGTGTATTGGTGACAGGATACGTGCCTTGACAGAGTCAGCTGCGCGGGGGAGGGCTCCGGGCTAAAGCTTGGCGCGTGCAAGAAGTGCTGCGCAAAGGTGAGAGCGAACGGGAGCTTTTTATTTTTTCGGCGTACCTTTGCTTTTCCTCCTTCCTTGAAATTGACCCACGTTGGGAGACGACCGATTGCACCTGCTGATGCCGATTCTGATGCCACTGCTGCTGCTGATGATGATGATGCTGATGCTGCCAAATAATCACGCGCTAGTCGGCTGGCCAATGAAATGACCTCAGTCTCAGTGCGGCTGAAAACAGAGAATGTCATGCGTGATCTGGGACCCCGGCGAATGGGCCACACGGTATAAGGCACGTCCACACGGTATACAATCACGTGTGTGTGTTGTATGTGTGACAGGCGTGGAACATCCTGGGGGACGCGGAGAGCGGTTACATCCTCACCGAGGGGGACGGAAACCACAACTGCCTGCAGAGGGACGGGGAGTCGGCGAAGGTGGCACCCTGCGACTCCGGCTACGCCAGCCTGTCGCTGCAGTTCGCCTCGAAGGAAGACATCGCTCTCATGATGAGCCCCGGAGCTAGGTGAGACAAGGGGCAAAGCGAGAAGAGGCGTGAGAGGAGAGAATACGGGGAAATGTCCGGTGTTTTTTTGTTTTTGTGTGTTGGAGAGGGGTCGGAGCGGTGGGGTGAGAGAGCCCCCAGAGCTACGTGAGAGCGGAGAATTACGAAAGAGACAATAACAGATGCCAAAAGACAACCATGTACGAGACAAAAGGAAAGAATGGAAGTTATGTCACAGATACCAAAAGATAGGAGTATGTAAGTAGTACGATACAAATTGAAACTGTATTTTTCTTTTTCGTGGAGGAATGTCGGAGGTGGAACGCGGTTTGTGCGGTAAAATGTACATCTGGCGTTCTTCGTTCCTTGTGGTGTACCGGTGTGGAGATTCCTCGGAAGGTATGCACATCCGAACGCCTCTACCCACACTGCAGCACAACTGTCGTGGCTACCATTTTTCCTCGCTCTCACGCCCTACACACACGTGGTCCATGTATCATTGTGTGACTTTTGAGGGCTTTTTGATGAGCAAACGAATTTTCATATGTTGGTCGTTGCGTTGTCAGCAGCATCCAAGGCTGGCTAATCGCCCGCAGCAGTAGCACACAGATGGTAGATGTCTTGTTCACTACCATGACCGTCGCCATCCGTTTTTTCTGAATCCTCCCGCTCCGACCCCCCCCCCCCCCCCCCCCCCCCCCCCTTTACTGCTGTAGTACCGTCGCTCACATGTCTTCCTACCCTACACAATCGGGGCGTCCTGGACGCCTGTGCCCATCAGGGGTGAGATCGAAAGAGCGCACCCCTGTATACCCCACAACATACCCATCTTCTGGCAGAAAGCACGACCGACAAGATTCTATGGGGGAATGATCGACAGGTATTTCCGTCGTCAACGCTACATCCATATGTCTATTTTCGACCACCGGCCAGCCTTCGACGTTCCGTATTCTCGAATATTTTATTGACCCAAGGAGTACGACAAATTGTTCCGATTTCCGTGCTCGATTTTTTCGGCAACGGGTGTAGAAGGTGTTACCGAAAAGAGGGTACACACACATGAAAAAACGGAGCGGGTATGGTACCATCACACGGAACACGGGAGCGGTTCTCGCTAGCCTCAAGATTATCTTTGAATCGGGTGTAGTAGATGGCCAGTGCCCAACACGTGCACCCCTCGGCGCAAATGGAGGGTGGCTGTGTCGAAAAATAGTTCACGAACAGCACTTTTAAGCCTGTACATATATATCGTCTCGTTTCGAGAATGCATCACTCCACGTCAGCAACGCTCCTCTAGTGCATGCCGTCGAGAGCCCGGGTTCGGGGCATCCAACGTGCGCGCAACATGGAAATAAAGCGCGCTAGGAAACCTCAGGCCGTGAGACCGAATTACGCTCACCCATGCCTGTCCCGATACACAGAGTGCCTGTTCCGCTAGAGCCACCTTCTCCATGCTCCAACAAAAACACCAACACCACCAATGCTCCACACCTGGTCGGGGCAGCACCCCCAGTGCTTGCCCCCGTCGTGGAAGACCGGGTTGAGCCTGTGGTACCGGCAGGAGTCACGCTGGTTTTCCGCCACTACGAAGTCCTTTTGGCACCCGAGGTTCACACAGCTGAGAGAAACATAGCCGGTAAGCGGGGCAACGCAGCGCAACACGCATATTCAACACGAGAGAGCGAGATAGAGAGAGAGAGAGACT